CAGTTTTCAAGGCAACTGTTTTTTTTTGGGAGTGGTTTGCCAGAGCCTCCTTCCTAGAGCAGAGCCCATCTGGTGAGCGCAGGAGGCAGGGTTTCGGTTGCTTTGCGCCCTTTTTGGGCGCGCACGTTTTTTTGCGCTTACCGGCAACTGCTCCCGACTCCTTTTTGCAAGGCGCCACCAGCATTTTCCCTCCCACCGGAGTGAGAGTCCCCATTTATCTACTCACATGAGTTTTCGAACTGTTGGGTTGACAGGAACTGGGGAGGAAACAGGAGCCCCCCCGGCTAACGCGAAGGCTGGACTCGAACCGCTGAAGTGTCGACCATTTCTGGCCGGCAACTTTCAGCGTCATTAAGCCGCTGCACCACCACGTCCCCGAAAGATGGTATACAGAACATTGCAATGTACTCTAAGACATAGATTTTAATCACTTGTATTTTTCTTTTCTCTTCTAGGTGGAACGGGAAATAGCCATCTTGAAGTTGATAGAACATCCCCACGTTTTAAAGCTGCATGATGTTTATGAAAATAAAAAATATTTGTAGGTATTATTCATTGACATGGTATGAGAAAGAATAAAGAGTAATATATTGTGGGGGGAGAGCACTGAATATGTTAGTGCATGGAGTAGGTCAATCAAATCATCAGAACCATGCTGGTGTATCACTCAGTGAACCCATGGAAGTCTTAAAATTTGAAACTTGGTCACCCAAGTTCAAATCTGTCAGTTTCCACGAGTGATAAATTAATAGAACTCTTATTGTTCTTTATATTTCTCTAAAGCAGACTACCCTAGTTTGGTAGCTTTCAGATGGAACTTAAAATATAGCTAGGAAGGCATCAAGCTGGGAAGATCTGCTCTGGAATTTGAAAGGGATTATGTTTCTCAAAGTTAAAAAAGTATTGATAATCCAAGGCCAGTTGAAACATTTAAGACCTTTTGTTGTTCCTTCCCCTACAATGTTGATTGATCGATTGATTGATTTATCTGGCTCTGCAGGACTAATGAATATATCCATTGTCATTTTTGTAGGGTAATTTGGATTCGGGACAGAGTTTTCTCAAGTTTACTAGCAAGAAACTTGCAAGAATTGCAACTATTGCCAGATATATAAAATATATTAAGACTCCTTATTATGTTTTGTTTCCATTTTTTACAATATCTTTTATAAAAAGGTGAAATGGGAAGGATAGAAACAAAATTATAATTAAAGATAAAACACAATTAAAACGCAAGTATAAAAACCACCAGTAAAAACAAATAAATACAATAACTTTAAAATACAATATTTTTTTATGGGAATGTAGATATTTTTTAAGCTATTTCATCAGTTGAGATGAGTTGTACTGTTAATAAAAACAAATTAACAGTACAACTCATCTCAACCAATGAAGTTGCTTGAAGAATATCTGCATTCTCATCAAAAAAAATATAAAGCTACAGCAAGTTTGAAGGCTTACCAGGCAAAATATCTTAAAGCCTCAAGAGGCTTCTAAGGGGGAATATGGCTTTTCAGATAGCCTAGGTGCAAGACATAGGTTATAATCAACATACAGGTAGTCCTCGATTTATGACCACAATTTGGACAGGAACTTCTGTCGCTAAGCAGTGTGGTTGTTAAGTGAGTCACACCCAATTTTACAATCTTTTTTGCCACAGTCGTTAAGCAAATACCACGGCCATTAAGCGAATCTCACAGTTATTAAGCAAATCTGGCTTCCCTCATTGACTTTGCTTGTCAGAAGCTCCCTGGGAAGGTCACAAATGATGATCATGTGACCCTGGGATGTTGCAACCATTGTAAATGCATGACAGTTGCCAAGTGCCTGAATTTTGATCAAGTGACTGTGGGGACACTGCGATGGTCATAAGTGCAAGGACCGGCCGTAAGTCACTTTTTTCAGTGCTGTTGTAACTTTGAATGGTCTTAAACAAAAGGTTGTAAGTCGAGGACTACCTGTATTTAATTGCCTACCCCCCAATAGACTAATTGGCAATGGAGTTATTTTAACAAGAGATTTACATATTCCCTGCAATCATTCCCAGTCAGTGGTCTAACTTCAGTATTCTGAACTCACTGAAATTTCTAAATCCTATTCAAAATCAGTTCCTCCCTATAATGGATGTTATAGTAATCCAGAGATATAGTTAAGGTATGTGCCATAATGACTGGAACTGTCAATTCCAGGAAGAGGTGTAGCTGATGCACTAGCTATGGTTGTGACTTCTAGCCACCCCCAAAACTAGGAATGGAGTTCAAGATTGATTTTCATACTGGACCAGGATTCTTAATTGTTCATGTTTTAAGATTTATTAATATCACATTAGCTTTATTGGTCTTATTGATGTTTTAGTATAGTATAGTTTGTTTATTATTATATGTTTGTTTATTTAGCAGCACTGGCAGGCTTTTTGTCATAAAAAATATAGACCCTGAAAGTAAATACATTAAGGAGTACACTCAAACTATGAATTGAGTCTTCAAGAGGAATGGAATTCTATCATTAGTTGTATTCCCATTCTCATCTGCCTTTCAACCTTGGAAGACCTCTGCTTTCTCTGGATGAAGCTTTAAGCTAACTTTGTCTCATAAATCTCATCACCTACTGATTTGGAACATGCACAATTTTCTTGTATGCAAAATACAAAAAATGCTAAAGTTTCCAACATTATCATAAGCAAACAAGTAAGCATGATTCAAATTTAGCCTGTGCTGGAGGTAGTCTTTTTAATATCACATCTCCATGAAGATATGATTGCTAAACCAAGGGGAGAATGTGGAATGGAAGTAATAATCACATATGAACTGTATAACTAGAGCAATCAATTCTTATCAAACAAAATTGATCCATAAATTCAAGAATTCTGTAGAAGATGAAACAGTTCTCTGTCTTTCTCTCTCTCTCGTGAGAAAGTCTTTTCAGCCATGAGCTGCGATACCACCAAACAAAACAAAAACAAAAACATTCTCAGCCTGTATATAGACACACATGACTGATATGCCTGTTGCTGGGTTGTTAAGTGTAGCTATCAGCAATGTACAATAGCTCATTACAATTATGACTCTATTATGTTTGCTGTACAGTAAAAAATTGTATAATCTGGAGATAACTGAAAGCTGGAGAGAGAGTAGGTGGTCACCCAGTAAAAACATTTCTAATGTCAGAATAAGGAACTAAAATATACAGGTATATTCCCTCCTAATCCATTGACCTGGCCTAGAAAGTCTGTGAAGCTATACTATCATTATATATTACCACCAAGTTACTTTCTAAATTGGACCGATAATTTTGTTATACAATATAGTTTTCAATTGTATGTATTTGTATTTTTTATTTGGGAGGTTTTTCAGGTATTGAGAAAATTGCAAATAGTGAACTGTGCTAGTTACAGTGAATTGAAATGTTGTTTTGACATTTGTATTGTGCCTTTCCTAATACAGAATGCTGCATTAAAAGGTCAACATTAGTCATGTCTACTCAAAATTAGAGAGCCAGTTTGGTGTAGTGGTTAAGGCACCAGCCTAGAAACCAGGAGACTGTGAGTTCTAGTCCCACCTTAGGCATGAAGCCAGCTGGGTGACTTAGGGTCAGTCACTCTCTCTCAGCCCTAGGAAGGAGGCCATGGCAAACCACTTGCAAAATCTTGCCAACAAAACTGCAGGGACTTCTCCAGGTAGTCACCAGAAGCCAAAACTGACTCAAAGGCATTCCTGCTGCCCAAAATTCAGAACTGAGTTCTTTGAGATGTACAGATATCCATATACAGACTGATAGCCTTATGGTGCTTCAGAGAAAGGCTCCTAGCAATCAAAATAGCACAGTTGGAGGGAAGGGGTCCCGTTTCTTCTTTCTTAATGGTTTTTGTTTGTTTGTTTACGGAAAGAAAAACGAGAGAAGAAGCAGTAGGAAAAAAACAATTTCCAAATGGAAGACAAGGTTTATCGACTTTATAGAGTTCTGGGACTAAAGCAAGGTGATAGCATCATAAATGTCTAATCTGAAATCGAATTAGTCGGATTGTGCAAAGCATTTGCAAGAGAAGGGCCATTCCTTAAAACAAAGTAACTGTCTCCCTTGGAAATTTGGCACAGCTGCTTTGAAGACTTTCCCTGGCTGTTTGCACATACGTATGCGTGCACAGATCACCTGCACTTCTCTGGGGTCTGCCAGCAAAGGAAGCGGATGTATAGCCACACAGAAAGGTCCTAAAGCAGTCTTAAAACCTTCCATTAAATAGAGCTGCTTTACTGCTTTGAGGAGACATGCTTCCCTCACACCAATATGCTTTGCAACGTGTCTTTTTCAAATGTTTAATAATTAGCCTTACAGTCACAGTGACCCTATAAAGTAGATTATGCTGTATCATAGCAACTGAGCACAGATTGGAATCTAGATTTCTCATATCCATGTACAACACAGCAGCTACAGAGCCATCCTGGCAATGTTAGATAGTGCTTCCGACTAATTGGGCTTTACTTTACAAAGATTGATGCCACAATGAATGCGCTTATTATTAAGGTACCCCCATATTTTCTGGTGTTTTTTTCCACAGTCACAAAACAGACTAGATTGACACTATGTATAGTGCCCTATTTGGGATTTATCATCATATATGACATTTGTCTCCCACTGATTAGATTTAAGGGATAGGAGATTTTCTTCATACTGATTAGTGCAACACAGAATATCTTTTAATCCCCGACAGAAATCATAGTGAGAGATGAGAAAAGAAACAAAGTCCATAGATGATCAAATTATGTTTGAAAAATGCATTGTGGGCAAACTATCAATCACTGTTGAAAATATTAGACCTGATAGCACTGCGTAAGAGTTGTGTAAATCTAAGGATTTGGAGTGCTGAAGTCTCAGCTTATCTCTTTGTAAGATGGGATAATAAAATGTTTATCAGACAGCTATATCCCAGAATTTTAAGATGAAGGACATTTGTTGTCAAAGTAAAAAAATATTGCTGCTTCATTGATGATGGTAATTTAAAGAAAATTATACAGATTTTATAATAAAGGCTATTGCTTGTTATTAAAACAAGCTGGAATGGTTGGTGGAAATCTAATAAATCAATGAGTTTTGGATAATACAGTAATGGAGTATGACTGTGGAGGGGTGAAAGGCTCAGTGTCAGTAATTTCATACCTTGTAAAGTTCAGGTTTAAGAGGGGGATGATGATGTTACTAGCAAATATAACACAGCACAATCTTCTCCCCTTTACAAATTAGTCTCAGGTTAGTCAATCACCTTTCCATCAAACATCATGTCTTAATTGCAGTGCTGGTGGCACGGTTTCTTAGGCGTATTATGAATTATGGTTGATATTTCAGATGCCAAAGACTACATTGCAGCACAGGGAGTATTTCTTCGATAAATGTTAATTTCACAAATCATGTTTGACTTTTGGATTATTATTTAATTTGTGACAAGGAGCTTTGGTTGAGTAGATTCCTAATGTAGCCATGAATCAAATCCTTTTTCCACAGTTAATTTAAGAGTGAAAATGCATCTGGAGGAAAAAAAAATTAAAA